TTTTTTTTTTTTTTCTTTTTTTTCTTTTTTTTTTTTTTTTTTTTTTTTTTTCTTCTTTTTTTGTCTGTGTGATTGCTGTCATATAAAAGCAACAAACTTTTAAAGTTTGTGGAACACTGTAAGAAAAAAAAACTTTTGTTTATTTGAAGCTTTCTACAATCCATTTCTAATCAATCGGTTCATTTATTGGCCACTTGTCCTTTGAACAATTGACTTTGAGAAATATAAATTCTCTCTTGATTTTTTTTTTTTTTTTCCCTGCTTCAAAGAAGAATGTTTATAAAGTATTCCTAATTGCAGTAGATGCTACCATGTAAGCTAATTCACTTAATTGGCAAGAAATTAAGCTTTAGAAATTGTAGATTTTGTAAATGTTTTTAAGAATTGTAGATAGTAAATACTTTTCAAATTTTGAAGTAATTTTGTAATGCTACAATATTTAAAGTACTAAAAATGGACCTTTTAAGACATGTGATGCTGATGATGTAGGTCAAAGGTTGGAAGCAAAGATCAATCCGCATGTACTAGCTAATACACACAAGTGCAAGGTGGAAATTTTGCATATGTGCATGATACAACTGGTTTGGCAATAGCTGAACATTTATTAAAAACAAGTAATGTGCCTGGTATTATAATTAAGACATCTTCTGTATTGAGGAAGGTTGTATTCAACTTAGAATTTTATTTGAAGGTGTTGGAATCTGTTTATATTAAGTCCTACCTGCCATTTCTCTGTAAGCAGGAGGAGTGGTTGTTAGTTTGTTAAATGTGATTAACCTGTAGTTGTTATATATTTATTAGCTAGTTTTATTATGTCTTAAAAAAAAAAAAGATTAAAAAACCATCTGGATATATAAAAAAAGAAATATTCAGATTAGAAAAATTGTGAAAATTTCCGGTTGAAATTTAAAATTGTAAGCTGATACTTTATTTACTTTGGTGTTTTTTGCAAAAAATCTTTTTAACTTTATTTTCTTGAATAAAAAAAAAATTAAAATCACTTTCTAAATTTAATAAAAAGATTAGAAGTCAACAAAATAGGTAGAGCTGGTGGTGAGGTGTTGCTTTGCTAAAAGGAAAACCTGCACTTAAAAAATTTGTTTGCAAATCTAACAGTCACACAGTATGCAAGCTCATTCAGTGATGGCTTACTACCAACTGAATAATGTGTGGAAAGCTTCTCTTTGTTTAGTTAAGTTGCATCAAGGCCACACAACCAGTTTTTAAGATATTCAAATTTGCTGTATATGTTCTGGAAAGTCTGTGTATGAAGTTGAGCTAACTAAATATAAACACAAAACAAAATGATATAAAAAAAAAAAAAGGAAAGAGTAAAATACATTTAAAGTTTATTAGAATCTTTCTTTCTTACAACTGATGATTTTTAAAGTATCCATTTTTTTTTTCTAAGTATACAAAATAATTTTTCTTTTATGTAATTTTCATAAAACTATTTTCCCTTTTTTCAGTTTCAAAAATATGTTCTTGATCCTTTGCTGCCAAGCCTGAATAATTTCTTAGAAAATCAAGGGTAAGTCTTCTCAAATGGACAGTCATCAATTTTAGTGACAAAATAATTTCAACAAAAACAATATAATGTGCCAAAAGATACTCACCAAATTTATGGTTGGAATTGTTTTTTTGGGCGGAAACTTATCAAGTGGGAGGGGATAGAAAAAAAAAGAAGTTACTTCAGTTACAGCTGTAGATTTTGGAAATTGAATTTTGTTCAATTCACCCGGGATAGTTGCAAATGATTGTTCGTATATTGTTAGATTTGTGAATCTTGTTCTGTAAATTGTTGGGTCAGACATAAAATTACACTTTACGCAAGATAACGGAAACATAAACACTCTCAGGTTCTTTTCTTTAACTGGATTTAAGAATTAAGAAAATTGTTCACTTTAATATTTATTCACATCATCTGCTCAATAACATAAATAGGCATATACATCCACATTATTATTATCCATTGATATATATATATATATATATATATATGCACACATCAGCATATATAATTATGAAAGATGAGATTCTTTTCTATCATGTTAAAGCAAAAAGATGTATAAAATCCTGCCTTGATTTGAACATCTGACATAAAATGACAAGACAAATGATGAATTCACTTTGCCAGTGTTCTGCTGCTTGAACAGCACTATAAAATTAACTTTCAAAAAACATTGTTAGCAAAGCATGCAGAGGGCCAAGAACTTTTTGATTTTCAGCAGGGCATATATTTGTATGGTCAGGGGGTGCTGAAAAGTTATTGATCAGACCAAGAAATACTTCCTCCAAACATTTGCCAGATTTTTGGAAAAGCTTCTTGGTTTGACCCCAAATTTTTTATATGAATATATGTTAGGGTAGGGTCAGCATTGCAAATTTAAGACTCATTACTTCCCATGTCAGTCTGTCTCTATCCTGTAGTAGATTGAATAAAGAACTGATATAAACAGTGTGACTTTACTCCACTGATAATCTTTTAATTGCTGTGTTCCTTCAGAACATTGGATATAGCTCTCCACATCCTCTATCCTTTGAAGCTGCAAGCAATGTTTGTTTGCTTACTGGGTCCCTGTTCTGCCATCCATTTATACAAACTTGTTAGGAAGTTGAAAAATGCAAGGAAAAGGCATTGATGCGGGCTTTGAATTGCTGCAGATTAATTTTGTTGGGTGCATGGGTGGATATAAAATATAATATTTGCAGGTCTATTTTATGGACAGGTGATGTAATGGATAGTGATTTCGAATCAAATCTGAGTTTGAATTCCAGTTGGGTTCACAACATTCACTTGCGTGCATAGACACTTAGGAAAGGTGTGTGTCCCTCTCCTTCTCCCAGCTATGGGTTAAATAACAGGACTTGTATCTGGAAAAATCATTCTTATTGTTAAAAAATTGTTAATGCAATATTAACTCGGAAAAATTATTCTTGCAATGTAAAATGTTTCCACTACAAATAAGGTGTCATAAAAAACAATTGATCAGCTGATGCAGGTTTTTAAATTTCAAATTATTTTCCCTGTATTTTCAGGTATCATCATCATTTGGAATTTTTCAAGAATCTTTTTGAAAAACAAATTGTAAGTCAACCTTCATTTTATTTAAAAATATTTTTTTTTGTTTCCCCATGTTTAATGAAGGGTTTTTTTTTTTTTTTTTGTTGACGATCAGAGTTCACACCTTTTATTATAAAATTTTTTTTTAAAACTGGTATGTTTATCTCCCCACCTTTTATCACATTAACAAAGACACTTAATAAGTTGTCATAACTTGTACATTCACAGAAAAAATAAGTGATACTTGGAGAAATTTTCTTATCCAGGGATTATCCTTACATGGAATCTTGATATGGAAGTCCTTAATGACTTCTGAAAAGAACAAAACTGAAGATGCTCGTCTGGAATAATGAAAGTATTTAACTAGGAAACAGTTTCATCCAATCCACAACATGCTGGATTGATGGCCGTTTATCTAAAAACTCACAATGACTGAATTCTGTTGTTTTTTAAAACATTGCACTTTCTTGGCTTCTAAAAATATAGCAAGAGAAATTCTTACAAGGAAATGTTAATAAATCTATAGATGGACAAACAAGTGAATTTTGACCTGATATTTTCTTTGGAGAATATTTGATCTAATTAAGATTCACCACTAAATTAAATGCAGTGAGAAGGGTGGAGATTAGGTTGAAAAATGATTAGGTAAAATGCATAAAATTTTTCTCTTCATTAGGCTGCAGATGTATTGATTTACATAAATAATAGGTAGGTAGGTAATGTTGATATACAATGTCATTGTCTCTGATATTTTGTGAATTTTGTTGTGCTTACCTGAAAATAGAAGAAAATACCTTTTTTAATGATGATTTAGTCTTAAATTCTTTCAATTTAATAATCTGTTGCTTGGACATACAAAATGTTTTGGTCTCAATACTTGGTTTTGGTGGCTTTAATAAAATAAAATCTCTCATTCCAAATTAATTCCAAAGGTCCCTTCAATTTTGACTAAAAAGAAATAAACTTTTAATATTGAAATTTATGGATTGAATAATTATGGTGTTTTTGCAGCATCACCCTCTTGCTTTTCTGTATGTTGTGATATACCAAGCGAGATATGATGAGTTCATGTCTTTAATAAGTTACAGTTAAGTAAACTTTAAAACCATAATCTCTTATGTTATGAACTTTTATCCAGTAAATCAACTTGCCCCTTTGTAAAATTCATTTGCGTGTTGATAATGTCTGGTCAGCTAGATTTGTCTATTTTTCACTTGTTAAGTGCAGCCCTTTTGAAAAAGAATTTCCTTCTACCTTCTCTCTTGTTCCAGTATTGTTTTATTATTGAATAAATAAATCAACAAAGAAGATTTTTGAAAAAAAAATTATGTGTCTTAATCTGTTTCTACATTAAGTAATACAAGATGCAGAGAGCGTCAAAACTGAAAAAAAAACTCATGCAGCATATATTTCCAGAATATTCACTGCCAAATAATCTAAATAATTTTTACATGAGACACATGAACAGCTGTTTATATATTGCATATTTAAAAAAAAAAAATCTGGCCTGTTTTGTGTTCATTTTTCTCTTAGATTTTTTTTTTTTTTTTTGCAGCTTGTATTTTGGAGTCAAAATCAGTTTTTGCTTGAAATCATTTCTGATGAAAATCAGAAAATAATGAAAAGGGTAAGAAGTTTGTTTTGTAAATTTATATTTACTTAGATATTGTCTAAAAAGTGGTTGTGCACATCACTTGCTAGTTAAAAGGGAAAAAAAACTGCTCCCTTTTTTAACATTTATCTGGAAAATTAAAAAGATTATCACTGCTTTGTCAATAGCAAAGTTAATTGACTTACAGGCTTGTTTTAACTTTTTTTTTTTTTTTTTGATAATTTTTATTTATTTTTTTTAATTTTAACAGATAGTTTCATTGAATTAAGCTATCACCATCTCAACCATTGGAGTTATCTGCCCTATGACCATTTATTTGAAAGTAGTTTATATTTTTCGATCTTAGAAGAAATACGTTATATTGAAATCATACTAAATTCTCTTAGAAATCCTAAATGCTTGAAATTTATACATGCTATGAAAAAAATTGATGGTATGTAAATAATTTTGAAGTTGCATTGTATTTTATAATTATCTAATATCAAAAGCTTTGTTGCTCTGCATTTTCTTGTTTATATTCAGTCTTTTGTATGTCCCTAAATTGAATGATGTTTCTAATGTTAGTGGGATTTCTTACAGTAAGTATTTTTGTATTATTGACAAGTATTTGTTTCATTGATTAATGATATGAGATTTAATTATGAAAATATATCCACTGACATACTGGAAATACAATGCATATTTATAATTATAACTTTAGTAAGTCATAAAAATTCTTTGATAATGGTTAATGAAAACCAAAAACTTAAAATATATTGGACAATTTATGTTAAAAGTGTGCTTTGAAAGCAGAAAAAAATAATCTGAGCAGGTGACAGAAAAAAATGCGCAAAATGTAGATAAATGAGTGAGAGAGAAAGATTAACTACAGTGATAAAAGCATTATTTGTCTGAAGAAGTTCCTTCTTGGAACAAAACCTGTTACTGAAGAGTTTTTCATTTTGTTATTCTCTTATCTATCTACACACACACACACACACACAATCATGGTTTGCTCTACAAGGGACACAATGTTTCAATGCTGCCAGTAGGCACATTTCATTTACTTTAAGGGTTGTGAATGTTTGGGTCAGTAGATGTAAATTTAGACTTTAAAAATAGGAATGTCTCCTCAAACACATGTATCTACTAAATGTTAAAAATAATAATAAAAATATATATGTCTCCAAATGTAAAAAAATGAAGAGGAAGATTTCAGCGTTCAAAACATTAATTTAAAACAGATGTCATCGTGCATAGATGCAGGTCCGTACATCAGATGAGGTACGCAAACACACATACACACTTGCTTGTTCGTCGGGACTCATACATATATAAACATATGTGGACAGTTTCGGGTTTGACATATGTATGTATATGGCTGGTGTTGTGTATATACATACGCATTTGTATGTTGAAATTCAAAGATTGGAAGTGTAGCGAAAATTTCTCGTGAATGTCTCATGAATTAAATTGTAATTGTTGGTGTTTTTTTTTTTTTTTTTTTTTTTATCTGTTTGGTATAAATTCAGATAATAGGTACTTTTTTTTACAAAAAAATGCCTACTTTGCCTACACAAAAAGTAGCAATAATATCACACACACCGCAAAAGAATTTACTAAACAAAAAATCAGAGATAATCTCAAAATGTAGGCATGAGAACAAGTACCTATTATCCAAATTTATACCAAATGGATAAAAAAAAAAAATAAATACCAACAATTACAATTCAAGCTACCATCACAATAATTATATTTATCATTATTATCATTGCACCATATCAAAAATATTACTAATATAATCACTTCTACCATTTTACAATAACTATTAACTTCTAATATTACCTTTACCACCAACACCATTACTACCACATCACATTTACTATTAACATATAAACCTACTATAATTATTAACGTAAATTACTCTCCTCAGCATATTTAATACCACCAAATAAAAACCAATAAGATCAGAGACAATTTCCAAATGTAGGCATGAGAATAAATACCTATTACCATGATTTATACCAAAATAAATAAAAATATATATATATATATATATATATAAAATAATATAAAATAATATAAAATACCAACAATCACTCTTTAGTTCAAGCTAGCACCACAATAATTACATTTATTGTTTTTTGTTATTCTCCCACCACCATTACTAATCACTACTACCAATTTACAATAACTATTAGCCACTTATACTATCAGTTTCCAATCTCGTACAACATTACTATCACATCACATCTACTATTATCATATAAACCCGCCATAATTATTAACGTAAACTACCCCCTCCCCAGCATATTTAATACCACCATAAAAATAACCAATAAGGATTACAAACTGAAATTTCTACCAGTCACATATACAGTCATCATAAAAAAACAAGCATATACACAGCTTTTATAATAACAATTTTTTTTTTTTTTTAAATAAATAAAAAATAAAAATTATAGCAATTTTCAACTATCATAATTTTACACAGAATACCCATTATCAGGATTTATACCAAAATAAATTAATATATATAACAAAATAAAATAAAACGCCAACAATCATTTTTAGTTCAAGCTACCACCACAATAATTATATTTATTGTTTTTATACTTCTCCCACCACCATTACTAATCACTTTTACCATTTTACAATAACTATTAGCTACTTATATTATCATCCTCTCCAATCCCTTACAACATTACTACCACATCAAATAACCAGCTTTAAGATAATAACAAATAAACCCTTTCTTTTTTAAAAATAAAAAAATAGTAATTTTTACCTATATAAATTTTAAACAGACCCCACCACACGTATATACATACATGCGAGGAAATATTATTCAGTGGAAAAATAGAAAAATGCTCTGATTTTTTAAATGTATACATTCACGAGAAACTTTTTGCTACACTTCCAATCTTTGAATTTCAACATACAAATGCGTATGTACAGACACAACACCACCCATATACATACATATGTCAAATCCCGAAACTGTCCACATATGTTTATATATGTATGAGTCCCGATGAACAAGCAAGTGTGTATGTGTGTCTGCGTACCTCATCTGATGTACGGTCCTGTATCTATGTTTGCGTTAGCATGATGACATCACAACTACGATTCCCCCCACTCCCATAATAACACCAATACACGCAATCTACATAAACCCATATTTTTTTAAAATTAATCAGTTTGTCTGACGATTGCAAAAGCATGAAACCCAGGGTTACAAACACACATCAATCCAACCAAATATGTTAGCTCTATCTCTGATATTGAGCGCTTTCTAATAAGTACCATACGCATATAATATATAAATAATTATATATATATACACACACTTTTCACACACACACACATATATATATATATATATATATATATATATATATATACACACACTGCAAATGTTGGTATTTGTAGTAAGCTATCTGTTCTCACAGACTCTTGAGGTCAGCCTGGCAAGCCTGATGTCCAAAATGGTTGAGCTGAGGTATGTGAATTCATGAACCACCTCCAGATCATAGTTGATTTTGATAGTTGGAGGCTTTTCAACACACCTTGGTCCATCATTTTGGACTTTGTCAGACTGAACTCTTGGTAGGCTCTTGAAAAATTGTCCATTTGTTGCTGCAGTTGGTCTCCAGTGTGTGTTGCTAGCAGTGTATCATCTGTGAACAACATGTCTCTGATGAACACCTCCTGGACTTTGGATTTCAGTCTCAACCAAGACAAACTGAACAGCCTTTCATCTGTTCTTGTGTGCAGGTAAATGCCATTAGTTTTAGTTGAAGCCCCAAATGCATGTTTCACTATGACTGCAAAGATGTCAAATAAGGTAGGTGAAAGCACACAACCCTGCATCACAGTTGCCAAGTTATATGATACCCTTTTTATCTTCACTGTTTGAGACACATTCTAGTCATCACTTTAAGTCCGACCGTGTCCCCAATGACATAGTTCTCACCTGTGTCCAGTTACCCAGTTTATATACCCTTCTCTAACATTGCTAGCTTGGACATGTACACTGTATGCTGAGTGGGAAGATTTCAAATGTCCTTCTGTACAGGGCATTGGTCACTAGCAAGAAGGCAACGTCATCTTTGCTTCAAGAATGTCTGCAAAAGGGACATGAGGGCAATAGACATTGAGAGGTGGGTAGACATCACTAATGATCACTCATATTGGAATTGCAATTTACTGTGAGGGCTGAAGTGAGGAAAGGAGAAACACAGGTGACTTGCCACCAGGGAGAAGCGTGCTTGTTGGAAAGAAAACAATGCTGTGACATCAGAGGAGATTGTCTTCATATGCATTCATGCATGCCATTGAGACTGTCACTCCCATGTGGGGCTGTACAGCCATAACATATACTGCACTGCCATCAGCATCTCCGGCATAACTCTTTGGGTGCAGATCCATGGTCACTTGACAGATGCCACACACACCGCACATCAAGAAGGCTTTTTGCTGCTCTGACTAAGTCATCTTTTGCTCTTATTTATGATCTGATGACTGTGACCTTATTACCCACACTGAGAGGTATTTTCAGCTCTATATGGACTGTCTTGGCAAGATTGGCAAGTATTGAGTTCATGATTATGAACCACCAACTTAGATGGTCTGGTCACCTTGTCCATCTACACGCATACCTAAACAGGTTATGTACAAGGAGTTAGCACAGAAAAAATGATGCAAACAATATAAAAACAATCTGAAGTACAAACTCAAAAAGACACATATAGATATTAAGACCTGGGAAGATCTGCAAACATGTAAAAATCTGATTACTACTGGTGTGAAGAATTTTGAGAACAGTAGGATAGAATATACACAACAAATCATGCAGGCAGATATATGAGAGGTTTTAAAAGCCATTTAAGGTGTCATCAGCATCAAAGTGATTATAGTTAAAATGTGTGAAAAAGTAAGAAAGTTTGAGTGCAAGTGATGGTCTTACTTACTTGGTCATGAGTTGAATTCCACTATGCATGTGTGTAATTTTATATATATATATATATATATATATATATATATAAGAGTCCATGATAATAAAACCTGATGGGGTGTTGTTCATTGTGTTCGTGGCAAATATTTGCACCAACTCCTTTTTATCAGCATTTTCAATAAGTGTAGCTGGTTCTACACAAGCCATCACGACTCTAAACAAATCTTTTATGTGGATAGTCTGCAGTTCAGTTCTGTCTTCCTTCTTTGCTATTCCACCTGAGCAACAAATCCACTGGTGAGAGAGTTAAAGGCAATGGGGGGAAAGGTACAGGATTAAAAACTGAACTGAAAGACCCTCATATGTCAAACGACAGGAGAGTCCATCATATATATAATTTTCACAAGAAAATGGATTAGAAATTAGCTTGTTTACATTGTCTGAGTGTTGAATAATGAACTGATAAAAATGAGCTAATAAATTTTATGATCAAATTTTAGTCTTTAACTAGAGCTTGATTGTGCCTTGTAGCTGAGATGTGTACACTTTTAATTGATGTCAGAGTTCAAGGCCAGGTAAAAGCCAGGATTTCAAATGTGGATTTTCAAGGCAGACTATCCAACTCTCAATAGAATATTCCTTTAAACCCTGAAGGATATGAAATTTAAAAAAATGATCCAACTTGAAAGACTGTTTTTTATCGACTGTGTAGACAAGAGAAAATTAAAGGAGGGGAGGTGAAGATGTGGAGATAAGGGAGGTAACTTTGATAATCTTATCAGGAGAATTCGTTTAGCAATATTTAGTCATGGATTTTTGCCTATTTTTAGTTATTTATGGATGACCACTCTGACCTTCAGTATATAAAAATTAGGTTTTATTAAATTTGTTTCAGTTTTGGTGATTCTGGAAAAATGCAAATTTCTTGTATATATTGAATTCAGGATATTATTTGAATGTTCTTAACTACATCAAATTATTTCATTTTATATATATATATATATTTTTTTTTTTTTTTTTACGCTTAAACTTTGTTTTGCTTATGTATGTCTTTACTGATGGCACTAAAACATTTTTGGCAAATCAGAAACAAACAAAAAACAATGCAATTTTTTAAATCTGATTTTAAAATAATTTTTTATATTTTTTTTTTTTTTTTTTTTTTTCAGACAAAAGCTTGTGGACTTTTGCTCAGTATGATAGACAGAAAAAATGTAAGTATTTGATAATTTTTCTTCTAATCCGGAAGTGGGTTTCTCCCCCCCCCCAAATTCCATTTTGATGTGATTCATTTTCTTTTTAAAAGAGTTAATTCTTTGTTTCAAACAAAAGATGAATTTAATAATTTCAATTATGATGTTGGTTATAATAAAAATGATTATCATGTGTCCTAAAATATACTGGATATGTGCCAAAGTTTATGTGAATTTTTTTAAAACAAAGACAAAAGTTAAATTTCTAATTTTGGAAAAAAAAAAGAGGTTACAAAAACTTTTTATTCCTCCAATAGTTACATGTTCATGTGGCAGCACTTTTTTTCAATTTGCTTTAAGGAATTTCAGAGAAAGTCCATAACCCTGGATTAATTGGTTACTGAAAATAACAAAGTACTAATAACTCTTTAAACATTCAGGGACTGATTATGAACATAGTATTTATATTATGAACAGGACCCATAAAAAAGTCAATATATTTTGATTCTGACAAATGTGACTTGAGGATTATTCTCTTTTTTTTTTCTTTATGTCAATTTAATTATTGCCAATAAATATTACTGATAAGATTTATTAAATGTTGCTTTATCATTTTGGGACTAGAATTTGAACATTATTAATTTTTTTTTTTTCTTTTTCATTTTTTTCTATGTATTCAGTGTTGAGTTTTCTAAATGTAAGTTGCTGGAAAATTTAGTCTCTGTCTCATATTTTCATTGTTAAGGCATGATGTTCATTTCAAATTAAATGAGATTTAGCATAGAGTTAATAAACCTTGATTTAAGGGGGGTGCTGATAAATGTTAGCTGAATGGTTGTAATGTTGGAGTTGGATAAAAAATTTAACATTTCTTAAATTTTTTTTTTTTTAGCGTCAAATTGTGAAAAAATCAGATTGGCAAACATTTGCTTCCTATTTTGTTCCTGCAATTGTTAAGGTAAGTCTTTTTCTTCTAAATGTTCTGAAGACAATTTTTTTGAAAAATTTTACCATAAAATTAAATTTGAGTTTAATTCCTGTATCTTACAAAATCCCAGATATAGGCTTACTAGTCCTATGATCTGCTTTCACATTATTATTTTATTAACATTTTTCCATTGATAAATGACAAAGAAAGTTCATTTTTTTAAATGTAAAGTTAACCTGAAATGTTGTTTTCAATCCCATTAGGAATGACTACTAAACACTTTTCCTTCCCCAATTTATAGGCAGAAGCAGCACACACAATGCATGCTGGGATTTCTTCCTAACCAATAAAATAGGCTGGTTTTTTCCTAACCAATAAAATAGGCTGGTTTTTTCCTAACCAATAAAATAGGCTGGTTTTTTCCTAACCAATAAAATAGGCTGGTTCTCAGTTTCATATGACTCAGTCCAGATCTTCTGATTCAGATGGTTTGGGCTGACTTGTTGAACTCTCTGCCTTCAGGGTCTACAGGGAATTTTTGCCCCAAACTTATGGGCTCAAATCGCCCCACATAAAAAATGGCCTTGTGCCACATCCTACCTTGTGGGGAGGTGAGGTAAATAACCTCAGTCCTGGTTTGTCTTGAAATCAGAATGCTATGTTTGCTTGTCTGAATTTGTTTTTGTGTGTCAACTCCAATTCTTAGTCTGTAAACCTTTTGCCATATTACTGTTGCTTTGTCTTATTACTGTTAATTTGTCATTCATTTATTGTTTTCCTGTTTTATATTATTTCTTTGGCTCTGATCTTTTCTTTTTCTTGTTATTGCAAACTTTGTCCATTCTGTTTGCTGTTCGGTTCTGTTACTTATTTTGCATTTGACCATGGCTACTCATTCCACACTTAATTTTATTAGTCAAAAATTATTGTTGAGTTTGTAAGATAAACTGGTTAATTATTATTTCATAGCCAGGCAGATACATTTCATTAGTTTAGTTTGGTATAAAGTTATATGAAACTTTTCATCATGACTCAGTCAGTAATTACAAAACTTTAGTGAATTTGGCACAAAAACCAAATGTCTGGGTACCCAATGAAGATTGAATTCCATCTTTAATACATCATTTTTTTTTTTTAGTCTATGGCTGGATTTGAACATGCCCTCAAATAATGCCATTTCTACTCAAAATTGGGAAGTGTTAATCGAATGCAATTTTGCAAGCTGGTTCACTTGTCTATGTTCCTTTTATTTTTTTGCTTCAATAGAAGTTTATATCAAGTCACTTCTGTTTCATCAAATTACTTGTAACTCTTCTATAGCAGTTAGCACAAATTGGATTGATGTTTTGACTTTTTATCCATATCCAGTCATCAACAAATTTTTTTTTTAAAATGCACATTTCATAAGTGACAGTACAATGTGCACAGATTGATAAGTTTTATCCACACTTCATGCAGATCTCCTTATATTTGCTTTTTTTTTCTCTCACTTGATTCAAATTTATAAACATTTTTGCTAATTACTAAATGATTTATGATGATTCTATTTGATATACTGAATGTTCTCTTGCTGCAGGTTCTCTCGTCTGACTCAGACTTTCGTACCATTTTTCATCACAGCTTTGAAATCTTCGTCATTTATCGATGGTTTTGGCCAACCTCTCCACTGATTATTATTATTATTATTATTATTTATTTATCTACTTTTTTTTCTTAAATCCAAATCTTCTTAATTCACTTCCATCCCCAAATGCAGAATATCTCTGATTTGTAGCTTTGACTTGATTGTAACTGAGCAAGAATTCATACAAATGAAAATCAAAAATTTGAAATGTTTACTGATTTGAATTTAGAATGGTATAAAAATTGTCTATCTTTTTTTTTTTTTTTTTTTTTTTATTTCAAAATAATTCAAAATAAATTTTTGATTTTTGTCCAAAATTAAATAAAAATTCAAAATTGTTGTGAAAGAAAAATCTTGTGAAGATAAGAAGAAAACATTAATTTCATGTTTGGTTAACTAAATAGGGGATTAGATTCTAAAGTGAATGTTTGTAGATGTGTGCAAATATTGGGATTCAAACAATAAAGAACTTAATTTCTTTTTCAGTTGCTAGATTCTGGAGAAGGAAAAGTGAAGTTTTTGGAGCAAGTGTTACGGTTGTTCAATAGTTTCATGACTGTTGATAAAGGAGACAATTTGGCAGTAAGTTGATGCCGAACTTTTTAAAAATTTTTTTTTCATATCTGTTCATTAGGAGGAACTTAATTGCAGCAGTGTTTTTTTTTTTTTTTTTTTTTTTTTTTCTATTTGTAAAGATATGTAAATTAGGTACTGTATAAAAGGCAGTATCGCTATACCTATGGAAGAGTTATCTTCTCTTGACGAGACTACATCAGTCAGAGAGAATACCTATCATAATGATATGCCATTGCCAATCGGTTACTTAGCCGTGCTAGAGGATCCTGAATATATGGAAACATGGCTTAGGTGTTTCGCAGTGTCAGTGAGTGTTAAAAAAAAGTTAGTGGAGGAGAAAATGAAGTTACAGAGTTGTTTTTGGCCTCAGTGGGATGTGAGTCATAAAAAAAATTCTGTCATGGTCTGTCCCAAAGTGTTGGTACTATAGTACTATTTCTAATATTCGTAGACTTATATTCAGGCTGGCCTGAAGTTATTAAAATCACAGATAGAAAAGCCACTACTGTGAAGTGGGTGTTGAGGATAGTGTTTTTGAGAAAAAGAGTTCCAAAAAACATGGTCTCCGACAATGCACCTGAGTTTTGTGAAGAAAGTTTATGTGCATGGTTGAAATGTATTGGCTGCATTCTATACAAAACACCACTGTACCACCCATACTCAAATAGAATTGCAGAGAGAATGGTTCAAACTGAAAAAAATGGGATTAAAAGCATTCTCTTCAGTGGATTGTGATATAGAGAGTTATTTACCCAGACTACTCGTAAGTTATAGAGCTATTCCGCATGCAGGCAGAAGTCAAAGCCATCCACGTTGATGGGAAGATAAATAAGAGCTCCTATTACCATGTCATTTGCAATGAATGAAAGTTTGTGGTATGGAAAGGACAAGGATTCAAGTCCTGAAAAGGGGAATTTTGTGGTGTAAATGGGATTTAACACCACTGTATTAACAAAGAAGGGACAGGACATACTGGCTCACTATGACAAATTTAGACAAGAAAGCATGAAGTTATAGAAGAGGAAGCAGAAGAACAGCCAAGACAAGAAAGGATGAATGAATTCAGTACTGAGTGATCAGGAAGACCACCAGAGAGATGAAAGTGAATAACAAGAGAGGGAGGAGAGAACGAGTGTATCCAGTAGTAGTAGTAGTGATGAACAATCTGGGGATGAGAGTGAATGGAGATATGATGATTCAAATGAAGAGAATTAGTTAAGACCTAAACATATATAATATATATATATATATATATATATATATATATATATATATATAAAATAAAAGACTCGCTCTGAGAGATGGATTATATCTCCCAGGATTGTTTGTAGAAATCAAAGGTCAAGTAAGGGGAAAAAGCCTCTTGGGTTCAGGGAGGTGTAGTGATATATAAATTAGGTATGGTATAAAGTGTTTGTTTTCTGGCAGCTGCAGGAGAAATGTCAGGAGCAAAACAAGGGGCTTTATATGGCGTTCATTGATCTGATAAAAGCCTTCAACAAGAGTAATGTGGCAGATCGTGGGGGTGACTCGGCTGTCCTCCAAAGTACCTACACATGATCATCCAACTGCACAAGGATCAACGTGGCCAAGTTAAACACAATGGCGATCTTTCATAGCCCTTCTCGATCACCAACGGGTGTAAAGCAGGGTTGCATTCTGGCACCAACTCTTCTTCAGCGCATGATGCTCAAGCAAGCCATGAAAAATCTTGATGATGAGGATGGAATCTACATCAGATACCGTCTCGATGGTTGCTTGTTTAATCTACAATGACTAAAAGCCCAGACCCTGGAACGATTTATCCGAGACCTCTGCTTTGCTGACAATGCTGCTCTTGTTGCCCACACAGAAGGGGCTTTGAAACAGACCACTATCCTGCTTCACAGAGGTTGCCAAGCTTTTTGGACTTGAAGTCAATTTCAAGAAGACAGAGGCACACTACCAGCCTGTGTCTTGGGATGAGTATCATCCTCCCCACATCTTCATAGGCGCAACTGAGCTGAAGGTGGTCCATTGGTTTACCTATCTTAGATGTGCCATCACATCGGATGCTGGGATTGAAAAGGAGGTCGACAACAGACTGGCAAGGGTGAGCATTGCATTTGGCAGACTCTACAAACGTCTGTGGCACAATAGCCACCTGAAGAAGGGCACTAAGATTAGGGTGTATAGTGCTATCATCCTCGCCACTCTCCTATACGGCTCAGTCATGGGTCACTTACCGCCACCACCTGCAAATCCTTAACATATACTGGAGTGACTTTGTCTCCAATATTGAAGTTCTTGAAAAGATGAAGACCACCAGAATTGAGGCCATGCTGCTGAAGTCCCAGCTGTGCTGGGCTGGACATGTTTCCAGGATAGAGAAACATCATCTGCCTAAAATTTTATTGTATGGCGAACTCTCAACTGGCTATTGTGGCAGAGGGTCACCAAAGAACCGATTCAAAATTGCCTGAAAAAATCTTGTTGCCTGTCACATTAACCATTGTTAATGATCAACCCTAGCTGAGAACCGTGACACCTGGCATCTCACAACTAGCCATGCTGTCTCCTTCCTTAAAAATACCTGCAGGGCTGCTCTCAGAGACAAGAGGCAGAGGAGGAAGTACTGCAATGCTATGCCATTGAGCCCAGGCCAGACTTTTAACTGCAACTACTGCGACTGAATATGACTGTCCCATATTGGACTTATTAGTAACAAACATTTTTGCAAGTGATGTGCACAGACTCCCTTGTGATTTGCATTTTGCGAAGCCAAGCCATGATGATGAAAAAGCAGTATTGTCATACCTATGAGAGAGATCTTCTCTTGACGGGACTACATCTGTCAGAGAGAATGCCTATCATAACACTATTCTTTATGGCTAATGATTTCTACCAGTCTTGGATGAATATTTGATCATTTTGGAATCATGCTAGATTATTCATGAAAAGAACAAGTGATTTTAACATGGACTGAATGAACAGATTGTTAATTATATAAGAGTTACTTGCCCTTGTTTTTTTACATACCATAACATTTATAGACAATTTGAGAAAATCTGAATGGTTTTTATACATATGCAGTTACACTTTAGAGATTATAAATGGACTAATAGTTGACATAAAATAATTAAATGCTTAAATATGTAATTAGAAATTATTTTCAGGTTATCTTGTTAATATACTTATATAATAGAAATAAATTGTAAATAATTTTAAACAATTTTTCTATAAACGGCTTCCAAGAAGAAAGCCTTTCATTACATTAGATCTTGTATTTAATCTATTACTGGCCACCCTTCTTTTTTTTTCTTTTTTTGGTGGGGGTGGGGTGAATTGGTATAAATGTATACTTATATACACTCATAGCTATCAGTGTATCTGTACTCATAGCTAACCTAAGGTATATCAAAACCCAATCACAGCTATAAATGTAGGGTAATATTTTTTTACTTTTATTTTATATTTTTATTTTTTTTTATGGAGAAAAAAATGATAGCAGTAAATATGGTGCCTTAATATTTATCAATAATTCTATAAGGAAAAAATGATAGCAGTAAATATGGTGCCTTAATATTTATCAATAATTCTATAAGGAAAAAATAAATTCCTTGGTCCTCGGAAAATTCTTAGAGCATAATTAACTTTTTTTTTTCTCTTGGAATATTTTTGGAAATAATTTCATTGGTATTTATGCTATTTACATTGTTCGGACCGTTGTCCTCATCTTTGAATTTTGATTCGAAATTCCAATGTTTATCACCTGAGGAATGCCAGAGTGTACAACAACCGATATGTCGTAAATATAGATAGAATTTCATTTGTATAACAAAAAAAAAAAAAAAAAAAACATAATGTGCAATATATTCTCTTTATTTTTTTTTTCCCCAGCTTCTACCTGCCAGTTTGTTTCCTCAGCTGCAAAAGATCAAAAAGTCTTCTTCCAAAGACAACAAGAAATTAGCCAAATCGATTGCTCAACAGTTGAGGCATCATGGTTTAAAACCAGCAACATAAAATAAACATCTAAAAATATATATTTTAAATAAAAAAACAAAAAAATTCTTTATATCTTTTGGTGTGTCTTTGTTAATTGTAGATTGCCAAAGTTCCTGTCTCTTTGAAAATGTCATTCTGACCAAATTTCTTGTAGAATTGCATTTCAATCTTTGTTAGGATTAGCAACTTGATCTTGAAAATATTTCACAAGATGTCTGTATAATACACCTGAAATTTGCTAAGCTACATAAATGTTATGAAAGTACTGCATTTGATGGCATGTCACTTTTCCTTGACCATTTATTTCCCCTCAAATAAAAAAAAAAAAAAAATGTCACTCAGGAATTAAATGTAAAATTGAGGCATTTACTTGGGTAATTTTTACCTCAATGCCATAGACAAATATTTATACTAAACCCAATTCCATCATACAGTAATATTAAATATTAATGAGGGTGTGGTGTTTCACTGCCATTAAATGTGGTAATATTTGTGGTTAAATTTGTCAAAAATTTAAGCATCATTATTAGCTATTTTAAAAGCTGTGTCTGTTAAATGCTTATTTTGAAAATATCTGGAATTCTGAATGAAAAGAATTTCAATTGTGCTGAATTGATCTCATTCAAGCCTTTTTTATTTTTTTAATCTAGTGATTTGATTAAATGAAAATTTGAATTAGATTTGACCTACCTAATTTGAACTTTCTGCTGTGTTTGTTTTTTATTAGACAAGGTTCGGCAACAGATTGCAAAGAAAATGGCAGATGTCAGATATGTACATAAATTTTGGTGTGTAAATTTTTTTTTTTTCTTTTTGACTTGGCGTAAAATGATTTTGGTCACTTTACAGAAATATTGACTTGCTAATCCTGTTTTTAGCTGCAGTCAGACTTGTTTCCTACTCTTTTTCAAAAGATAAGCATTCTTATTATATTGACTTTGAAAAAGTATTGTAACCTCAAAGTGAAATATATTTAGTAATGTGTGATAAAAGGCATTCATTGAAAAGGTCCTAATGAATTTCTAACTTGTATACTTTTCTATATAATACTTTCTTGCAGAAATTTGGCTCCATTGAAAGATTAATGCTTATGGCCTAATGGTTACTGTTGCTTTTTACTAAAAATATAAATACAATGACACTTTTTTTATTTCAAGTTTTGATTTTTCTGACGACCAGAAACATTGAAAATGTGGCTTTGAGTTACAGTTAGGAAATATTTGGTTAGATATTTATTTCATTCAGTTAATTGAAAAGATTTAGTTTGTGATTTATTCAGACTAATATTCTTGCCACTGATTCCGTGTTGTCATTTTCGATGAATAACCTTGTCTTTGTGAGCTTTGGTAGTTTTATATTGATGCATCAAAGATTTCTTCTTACAATGGATTTTGTTTTGCTTTGTTTTACGGTATTTCAACCTCGATGGGTTATTTAATGCTGACAAAATTTTTATTGTTGGTAATTTTTTTTTTTTTTTCAAAAATCTATTTCTGGTAATATTTTTTCCTTCAAATATGCATCGCTGGTAATAATTTTTTACAAAGTATTTCTGGTATTAAAACTTATTTTTACACTTTCATAGTGTTTTGACCCCAGTTTGGGGATTAACTATTTGCCTATAGCTGGGACCCTAACAGGTGCTATCACCCCAAGTTGGGGTGATCCGGGAACATCAGCAATTAATAGGTGGTTCCATGCTCCTCAAAACCTCCTGATTAGAGAGCTTGCTGTTGGATGTATTTTATCGTCTTACCCAGGATACAGATTTTGTTTTAAGATCATGCAAATATAAAACAATACAAGCTGGTATCATCACATCCTGACATTGATTTCTGCTATAAAATCACTGGATTTCAGGTGATCCATAAGAAGTGATTTTTACATCACTTGTCTTCAAGTTTCTCTCACAGAATATTTTCAGTTTAGTGATTCAGTCCTCATTGGGTTTGCATTAACTTTATTATACCTTTTGCTATTTGGACCAGTGTATTCATCTTGGTTGTTAGAACATCTGAAGAAGGTGAGTATATTTTCCTACTTGTAATTTTGAATTGCACACTTTATTCAATCCGTAGCAGTAGATAGTTCTCGTATTGCTCTCCATGCTTAAGGGAGATAACTCTTATCAATTAATACTCAAGAGTTTTTCTTTTTTTTTTTTTTTTTTTTTACCTTTGTGTTGCTTATCTATTTCATTCTCTGAGCTAGAGTATGTGACTTTTCAGAATTACCCATCAAGGAATCAAACTCCCAATTTCCAGGGAACTAATCCACCAAGCGATGTGGCTCTTGAACAACTTAGGTTTTAGACTTCAGAATTTTCACACTATTTTCTGTACTCAGAGGAATTGTATGAGTGTCAATGATTTAATACTGATTGAATACAATAATTGTGGCACAAGGCCGAAAAAAGTGGGGAGATGGATCAAGGCTGGTCGACACTAAAACTAGGCACATAAGAAGAGCCTATCTTAACCAAGAGAGGACTTCACAGAAACCACCCTGTTTGAGTGTCTTGACTAATTTTATTCCTCATCAGAGCCTACTGTATGGTATTCATTTCTATGCTATATATGATCGGCTATGCCTGATTTCAATATCACTCCATGTCTTTCAATATACCTCCACTCTTGCTTTTTTACAATAGCTAATCCCCCCCCCCGCACACACCGGTATTCTTTACCTTAACCATAATACATACAGTCCTTGGTGATGTTTTCTTGTTTGTAAGAGGGTGAACTGCTTTTGAATGCCACTCTGTGTTTGTATGGACAGCAGGTTCTTTGAGTATTTTCAGCTGTGCCCCTTAGCCACAAAATGAAAGCAATCGAACCCCGACAACTGAATAATGGACTTTGGTTCGAAATTCTAAGTTACTTGGTTCGAAGAGTACAACGGCCGAAACGTGAGCATTATTAATGATAATAATAATTCCTCATGTCAAACGTTTTGACAAAAATTAACTCGTCATATTAGAAATCTTTACTGCACTGAGTTTGATCTGATAGAAGATCGTTAACGAATATTTTCACGAGACGAGCTTGTTGACCATAACTTTTGAGATTCTCAACTGATATTGACTAAGCCTGTCAAAAGGCCACAAATGCAGATCACCCAATGAAGCTCGAGGTCTCTTCGAAGTTAGCTTGTTTATCATTGAAGCGCCGAATTACTTCAATAAAAGCAACGTTGTACATTTATTTTTACCTTCCAGATAAATTTAATAAAATTTCCAGTTTGGGCATATTTTGTAAGAGTGACATGTGTTGGGGAACGCGCATACGTAGAAAGAAAACGCCGATAATTTGTCAGATACTGTTTTAAGTTGTCAGTTGAAAGCGGCGGACAATTTCATCAACGCCATCATTATTTTCATTTCTTCAAACTGCAGGAATAGATGGAGGCGGTAATTTTATTTGAACACATCGCGATGTTTGAAAAGAAATTTATTTACGTTTTATAATTTAGATTTTATTATTAAAACGGTGAATTTTTCTAAATTTCCATTTTAGAAATTGCGGGAATAAACGAAAAATAAATTATATGCAAATCTATTTTCATTAATACATGAACATGCAAATTATTCTTTACCGAATATTGTCTTTGCTTTAATTAAACTGCCATTTAAAAATCGTCAGAATATTTTTTTTTGCCAGTTAACGTAGGTTTAATTCTTGGATGAAGTATTTTGTCGAAGTTCTATATAGTTATATGCTTGTAAAATCTGAAATATCAGCATGATATTTTTTAAATACAAGAAATCGTAAACCTTTTATTTTGGACGCAACTGGGAATGAAATGAAAATTAACTCTAATCACGAGCGAGAATAAAATTGATTCGTGCGTCAAGACGTTTTTTTTAAAAAGAATTTGTTTTGGCATTTTTAATTTTTTTTTTTTTTTTTTTTTTTAAACGAAAACATTTGAAAATCATAGTTTCTTTTATGATAACATATTTGTTGATTATTTAGTAAAATGACATTTAATTCAACGTTGACTACATTTTCAAGTTCAAATTCGGACAGAATGGAGGTTAAAACTGACGAATATAAATTCTGCGTTTGGGGACGAAGCTGGAATTCGGCAGACCCCTCGGTCAGCATGTCTGATGCTAAACTCCAGGAAAGTGACTCTTTGCCCCTTCTTGGGCTCACCTTCTCTGCTGATATGAAGTGGAAAGACTATATTGACATTTCCCTCCAATAAACATTAAATAAGCAGTCATGACTATGAATAATCTTCAGCGTTCCGTTAGCCATCAACAATAGAAATAGGGAACAAGCGGTTTTCTATTTCTCTTAATCCTCAAGTGACCTATATGCACTTTGCTAAAGGAGTATTGGTACTTTGTCTGAAGATCGCATTAAGGCATGACAGTGTCTATGCGCTGTTGATTCCTACGTCCATATTTATATCTACAAATGTAGTATCTCTGATATTGAGCACTCTTCCCCATAAATATAAAAAAAATTCTGTTCTATGCGCGCGCACGAGAGAGAGATTTCCGAATAATAAATTTGAAATGCATATATTAAAAATGTCCGACTTAATTTGTCGTGAAGTAATTACATTTTTGTCGTCGTTGTAAACGTCATTCAGAAAAATTAAATTATGTAAAAAGAAAAAAAAAAAAATGACGGAAGAAACATTTATCCTATTTTTAGAAAATTCATTTCGCTGAAATTTGACCTCAGCGAGGGGAGAAGGTCGGCAAGAACAAATGTGCATTTAGACATTGTCTACATAAAAAAAAAAAAAACTTCTTACAATCATTAGCTTTTGTTGAAGACGATTTGGAGCTTCATTAAAACGGGTTCAGTTAATTCCTATTTAATAGGAATGACACTGCAGGAAAAATAGAAGGTCGAGAAAAATGGTGATCGTCACTAAATTTATGCCGACGGCTATATTTACTAAATCCAGTCTGGTACAAGACCACGATTACGAAGGATAACATGAAGACCGAACTTATTACAGTATTTAATGGTCTTTGAGGCAACTTCAGTAAATTTGTTTCACATTTTACTAATTATTTATTCTGTCACAAGGTCACTTTTGTGAAAGACGCAGTGAGGATCAACCTCACGACGGTCTGTGAGTTTATTAGATATTACTTTATGACGAAATCATTTTTACAGTCTATAGGGTGATTGAAAAGTAACTCCCTATTTTATGTATGATGGACTCTCCCGTCTAAGTATATTTTTACAAGACTGGAGAGTCCATCGTACATAAAAAAGGTAAATCTTTTTCAATCACCCTGTAAGTCAAACATTTAAACCATTGACCCCTTTCATGAAATCCTTAATTCTACATCACCCCTGTTATGCCCAAAGAATAAGAATTGTTAATTTTATTTAAGGCCGATATTCCATTGCTCTCCCCCACCTTTTTTTCGCTCAATAGTTTCTCGATAAGATTCATTTTAGATTTACGCTTTCTTTTTTCTATTTTTCCTTTCTCTTCTTATTCTTCTTTCTCTTCTCTCTTTTTCTCCTCTCTTTTTCTTCTTTTTCCTTTTTCTTCTTTTTCCTTTTTCTTCTTTTTCCTTTTTCTTCTTTTTCCTTTTTCTTCTTTTTCCTTTTTCTTCTTTTTCCTCTTTCCTCTTTTTCATCTTTCTTCTTTTTCCTCTTTCTCTTTCTCTTCTTATTCAAGTTCGAATAATAATGAGAAAAGAAATTGATAAATAATTTAGGTAAATAGATTAAAAATTAATTAATATATTTTTTTAATCGGATTTAGCCCAAGCAAGGCAATTGGGAGTGAAATAATAGAACAGGAAGATTATGAAGGAGCGAAAACAATGGAAGAGTAATCAGGCAGAAAGTAGATAACGATTGACATTGCATTTACGTTTTTGAAGATCAATGTTAAAGCATGGAACTGAAAGAGAGTACCACAAGCGAGAGGTGCGATAAAAGAAACTTAGTATAGAATTTACGGTCACATCATGCCAGGTCAGGCTCAATAATATTGCTGATTCTTTGGATTTTATCAAGAATCTCTAAATATGTAGCAGGAGCACCAGACCAAATGTGACAGTAATATCATAAGCATGGGCGACTGTTAGATTTGTAAATATGTAAGATAAATTCTGGAGAGTGAACCAACTTTTTTTAGCAGCTGACCTAGCATTGGATTCAATATAGTTTTTCCATTTTATGTTCGCCAGAGAAAGCGTAGCGAGTCACTCTGCAGGAGATCAGCATCAGTCATGTCATTTTTTTATTGAATTGCTTGACATCAAGTTTTATTTATCTACCACCCTTTGTCCACCCTCCCCTTAGATAGTCCCATCAGCCCAAAAGGATCGTTATTGACCATTTTTGGAGACCTCTCGTCTAATGTCACAATAGCAGGGTATCATGTTTAGATTGAATCGGTTGACGAAATTAGTTTTCTAATTTTTACACTATTGTCAATACCGTCCATAAATATATAAAGAACTTATTTGAATTTGGATGCGGTTAAAAAATTCGGTGTTTGAATGAAAACCTTATTTTTTATTCGTGTTAAGTAACTTTTTATCTTAGTTATTAGATAGCGTTTAGTTTTAACGACATTAAAATAATCATTTTGATTGTGAACGCTGTGAATTTTTGAAAACAAAATTGGTACGTTTTTGCTTCTAAATTCTAACATTGATAAATAAGATTTCTGGCATATTTAAGAAAAAACAGAAAATTGCGCAGTTTTTGGAGAAGTCACTGTAAATGATCGAACGTATCAAATGTGGTTTACCAAGTTTCATGAGACAAATTTCTTGCTGAACTATGCTCCACAGTTTAGTTAAGTTTGATAGCGATCAAATGAAGACATACATTACTTGAGAATAATCAATGTTTATTTGATGCGGATGATAACTAACATTCTCAAAAATATCCAACCAATGAAAATCATTTGCATCAGATTAGATTGTTATTCGATTTGATGTGTGGCTTCCGCTGTATTTCTGCATGTTATTTGATACTTGAACGTAGCAAAAATGTAGTTTTTGTAATGAGCGATAAAGTTATTAATCATTTACCAAATTCAGCAGATATTGCACGTTTGACTTGGGTTTTCACAGAATTGACATAAGAGTAAAAAAAAAAAAAAAAAAGTACAATTTTTGGTAGAGCGCAAAAACACGTCGATCAATATCAATGCCGGAAGTCAGTGGAGAAAGTGTTTTTTTTGTTTTTTTGTGTCGCGTTTCGTCCCTTAAGACGTCATCGGACAAAACGCGTCACACAAAACTTTTTCCACTTTGTCATACATCTTTCCTTTATATTTATTTATATACATACATATATATATATATATATATATATTAGTGGCGACTAATTAGTGTTACTCGGGCTCAGATCCGTTGTTGGAGCGTTCCCAATGAACTCCCTTGTGAAAATGATATGAACTCATTTTTAGTGTACTAATTCTTATACGCAACCATACACCCGCTAGATTCAAATATTCTTTTTAAGCATTTCACTCCAAGCAAGGCAATAAAGCCACTCAGAAACAAGGGGTTACTAAGTGTGAAAGAATAAAAAGAAAAAACATTAAGGAGTGAGAATAATAAAAGAGGACTCAAGAAGACAGTAGATAATAATTGACATTGCATTTAAATTGTTGAAGATCAAAGTCGGTTGGAAAGCAAGATGCCATAGACGGGAAGTCCGAGAAAAACAAGCTGTTAGCAGAGAACTTATGGTTGCATCTAGCCATTTTAACTGTAAAATAATGCGACTTAACCGCCAATCTAGTACTGCGCTAAAATTTAGGTGCAACGAAGAAACAATTACCATGAAAAGGCACAGGGACGCTACATTACGGAGGTGGGGAATTAACTGAAGGCAAGATGTCAGGAGAGGACGAATGAAATTACAGATTTTTCTTTGGATTTTTGTCAATAATCTCTAAATATATAACAGGTGCACGAGAACATATGAGGCAGCAATATTCGATCACGGACTAATGATAGACTTTTTTTTTTGTTGTTGTTGACCTTATCGAACTTACAGTTTTAGGCCCTGGAATGAGTTTCCTCAATTGTTAGCCAAGTTTTTCTTCGTGCCACAATTCTTATGAAAAGTTTCGGTAAAATTTATTGAAGGAGTTTCCTCAGATAGCGAAAGAAATGTCCAAACATGTTCAGATGTGGAACTTGCAGACTAAATAGGTGCTAGATTGTATGATCTTTAGCTGTAATGTTTGTGACAGGAATTGGCCCGACTAAAGAAGGAAAATGAAGTACCAGAGTTGCAACCGACTACAAAATGACATTAAGTACTGAGAATTCATGTCACTTTTGCACAAAAGTTCAACAAAATCCAAAGAAGGATCTGTAATGTAATCGATCCTGACCAGGAATCGCAACTTCAGTCACTTTCTCACAGACTCGACGCGGCTTCCCTCTGTCTTTTCTACAAATATTTTCATAGTAACTGCTCTGACGTATTTCTTTCGATTTTCCTTCGACAAGATGAATTTAAGCATGCTACTAAATTGGTATGTAGGTCCCACCCGTTTACTGTTGAAATAGCTAAACTTCCACTTCAACCCCAAAAGTTTATTTTCTCGCAATTGTCCACCTGTGGAACTCCCTTCTGTTTACTTGCTTTCCTAATAACTAAAATCTTTAAAAATTTAAATGCAACATCAATCACCATCTTCTGTCTTCTTGAATCCCGTTCATCTTTTGTCCTTTCCTCAATCCTCCCTATTTTCAGCTTTGTCTTTCATTTTCACTCCATCTAATCTTCTGCGCATTAGTGGCATTTCCGCCTTGCTTGAGGTGAAATGATTAAAAGAAAAGAAAAAGTCAGTCGGTATACGAAAAAGATATGCAAACAGCCACAAAAATAAACCTAATGACAACAAAATATATGCTTCTCATGTCGGCCAACTTTGTGTCATATATTTTTGTTATATTCCGTGCTAAGGGAATAAACACATAACACCAGGTGGATACTAGAAGAAAGGTTTACTGTACGCAACAAGTACAATATGAAATACTGTACAGTTATACATGCAAGTCAATCTAGTAGTGAGTGCCACGAACTGGAAGGTCGAACGTGCTTGCGTCGTCTCTATCCCTCCTCTCTCTCGAGTCTCTCGTAGACAGTGGATTTTATAGGTACTTACTACCTATAGTATAATCATTCATGGGGGTGACTGGTTATTCCATTACATAAATTTTAAATGTTTGTCCGGCTTAAAGAGCCATATTCGTTCAAAGTACAACTTGGTCTGACAATGACATCTTCTGATGGTTAGTGATTTTTCAAGCATAGCTTAGATGTGGCACAAGGCCGAAAGTAGGGGGCACCCAGTGAGGATCGAACTCACTACTCAGTCGTAATTGTTCTAGCAAGACATTGTTCTTGCTAACCATTACACCTCCTCTAGGTATCTTCTGATGGTTATACTGGAGTTGGTAGCAACCATCATCAATGTATGCAGTGGTAATTCACTACAAAACTATCGACAACGATTGATCGCTTGAAAATAAAGCAAAGAATGACTTAACCTACATTTGCGAGTTAAAAATAAAATCTGAAAATCAATCCTCAGTCAAAAGAACAACTTGGAGATATTGGGAGATGTATCTTTTAAGATTTCTAAACCAAATGTGTAAAGTCTCATCCTCCTCTCAAATGTGAAAGACATTTTTCATACGATGATAGTCTGCTTCACCTGAGCTAACACCTCCATTTCCGCTTCGCTTTTTGAACCAGAGATGGAATTGGATGGAATAGCATATGGCATTGAGAATGAAAATTTGTTGATTTTTGTTCGCAAATTGATACGGCAATATGACAAAGAAGGTTTGGTATTTAGTATTATTCAAATTTAAACACCAATCATTGAAGAATTTCTGCTTGCTGAACAGGTGAAAATTAACACTAAAAGTTCAACAATTTACACAATAGTTGAGTAAACTTTTAACAATAAAAATACTTTCCTTATGTCATTTCATATGAAATTAATGCGATGCTTTTGATGATTGGTTGCTACCGTCGATTTGCTTTGTTACTACATTTTTTACTTCCTTCCTTTGTTACTGCCATGAATTCTCCACGGCAAGGCTTCAGCAGTAGTAGTAAGAAACAAGAAGTGTCAGCGGAGGAGGCCATGCATAACAGTAGCAACCGAAGCAGCAGGCAGGCAAATATTAAGAACATTAGCTTTATGATCTAGATTCAAGATTGCTCTATTGGACTGTACCTTAGTGAATTAAAGTATTGGTTCGTAAATATTGTAGCATAGCAATTGTGAGTTCAATCCTTGGTCCAGGTAATACAAACTCAGTGGAAACAGAGTTAGCAACAATAAAGCAGTACTAAAAAGAGAACGAGACAAGATATCTGTAGATATCGACGATAAATGAAGAACAATCTACTCCTATAGATTAAGTAAAAGGTTCAGAGTTCAAAATACATTAAAGGTTACCATGATCAACAGACATCTGAAGAAGCCGAAACGGTAATGATAATAACAACAAGGATGAGGATATTTTTTCTGAATGCAAACAATGGATTCTACTAATTATGAAGGTTTTCTTTCAATTTCTTTGTTAAAATCAAACTGTTCTGCCAAGACTATGAAGAGATTTAGTTTAGCGTTTCATTATAAATAGGCCTTCCGATCTAAAAAATGAAAATATTTTTTTCTTAAAACTG